AGTGATATTGCTCCATAATTTCCAGAAAATATTTGGTCGGTTTCATCTATATCTTGAATGGAGCCAACTCGGATACGCACTAAAGTCTTTTGGTCTTCGTCAATGAAATCAAATCTATTTTTTATAAAATAATCACAACCGTAAAATATTTATTAATAATGACAAATAACAAAACAAACAAAGGAAGGATCGTGGAAACTGTTAGGATTTTGACTTATTCTCGGTTTGCTTTAGTTTAAAAAATTGATAAAAAATTTAATTTCAAATCAGTAATTAATTTTAATTAAACATTTTATGAAATCGGATAGGATTGTGTTAGTCTATTCCAAATAAAATAATTTGTTCTTTTATTTCTTATTTGTAACTGGAATATAATGAATTAATGAATAAAAAAACATATAATTCATGCTTATCTCGAAGGAAAACGTATAACTCATGTCATATTGACATCGATTAGCCTGTCTACTTGATTGATTATTATTTCATTATATAATGTTTAATTATATTTTTCGAAATCAAATATTGAATGAATGAACTAAGCACAAAGATTTGTTCTTGACGATGAATGATATTTCTTAAGCCAAATTTAAACAAAAGATCTGTAAAGAAAGAGTGTCTATGCTCAATCATTTGTTGTGAAAAAACTTGTGCTGTGTTTAAAGTTAATGATGTAAACTAGCCGACTCGTGAGCCGAAAACTCGTGGCTCTGGTAATAATAAAAATTTAATTCAAAATTTTATAAAAGTATAAAAAAGTTTAAACAGGCAGGGTGGGATTCTCGTTCTCGCCCTCCAACTCACATCCCAATTAAGAATGCCATATATATCCTACAAAGATGGAGCCAAATGGCTTTATGGCTCGGTTCATAAATCGAGCCGAGCCAAATGGCTTTATGGCTTTATGGCTCGGTTCGGCAAGCTAAGCCAGTTTTTATTTATTTATTTATAAATAAACTTTTGATTCAGTATCTTTTTAAAAGGAATATGGCTCGACTAAATCGCTTTTTTTATACGTTTGATTCAGTATTTTAAGTTACAAATATTCGATTTAAACAATTTAAAATTTGTTGGAAATATTGAAGTGCTGCCACGATAAATATATGATCGATAAATTTTAAACGTTTGATTCATCATTTTAAGTTACAAATATTCGTTTTAAGCAATTTAAAACTTGTTGGAAATGTTGAAGTGCTGCCATGATA